AAAATGAAATTTTCAAGTCTTTCATTTCAGATTTTGCATTTTTAAAAAATCCTGAAATTTTGAAATGCTTAGATTTAACCTATTAATATCATTTTGGATTTTAAAAAATGGACGACGCTTTTCAGTTTTAAATACATGTTTCGACAGTAACGTCTGTCATTGTCAGTTACAACCATTGTCAGTTACAGCTGAAGTTGAGTAGCGTCTGTCGTCGTTAGTTACAACTGGAGTGAATTTTAATATACAAGTTAATATACAACTGTTTTGTGTAATAGCTGTTTCCTAGCGTGACTAAAGTAACTTACATAACACGAATAAAATACGTGGATTGAAAACAAAAGAACTGAAAAGGCAATGCAGAAGAAACGTGCAGAAAAAATTAAAATGAGAGAGAAATAAACGTGGTGAATTTGTATAGGTAATCATACGAGTTCAATTTGGAATTTATTTCTATGCGTGAGTTTTTCAAAAAGCTGAAATTGCACGAGGCGCTTATTAATAATATAAACATGAAAAAATTCGCGTGGAGTAAGTGCCGACAGATCTTTCTTGAAACCTTTTTTCTCATTCGAGAAAACTTTTTTCAATGTTTCCGCACTATATTTTCGTCATCATGTTACGTGATATCATTGGCCAATCATAATCCAGAATTACGAAGTATAATTTGCATTGGTGTTACACTTGAACTGCACTGCTCTCAGTCAATCAGAATCGAATAATTTTTTCATGTATATAATTAGCTGATTTAAAGTAGGCTTTTCTCAATCAGAATCGAGTAATTTTTTCATATACATAATTAGCTGATTTAAAGCAAGCTTGTCCCAACTAATGTACATAGCTTTTTTTACTTGAAACTTTTTAGCGGATTTATTGTGAGATGGGCAAACATAATCTTCTATCCTAAATTGTTTACATAAAAGGAGCTAGTTAGCAGTTTAGAGGCGACTGAACTTATTCTGCTCTAGGTTGATTTCAAGTCAAGCTTTCGTTTGCGTTACCACTGCTTTTAAAGGTTTATTTT